AATCCGATATTTTCCATAAAATTGGTTTGAGAGTTTTGTTTCAAATCTCGTATTAAAGCATATGTGTTCATGTTTTTGAAAATGTATAAAGAGAAAGTTCCAGAAAATCCTATATTTTCTGTAGTAAGTAAATGGTTGTGTATAATGTATTTCCCAGAAAATCCGATATCTTCTGCTTGTAAAAGAGTTGTAGCCTTAAAACCATAAGAACCGAGTGTTGTAGAAATGAATAGTTCGTACATGTATCAAAAGTATAGTATATGTATTCCATAAACTTATTATGTTTGTTAATATCTATGTGAGTCGTTATAACCATGCTTGATGTGACTGATATGCCTTTCGTGATGTTTTTCAGGCGTCGCTTGTTTAAGGTAAGACATTTGTCACCCTAGACTAGCCTAATTTAGCTGTAGCGAACTGCTTAGGTGTGGGGTTGTCAACCCCGTATAGATCTATACACAAACTCTCGCTCTCCCTGCAGGAGACTCTAGTTATAACTACATGACTTAAGGTTCTACACTAGGTAGGTACGGATGAAGACATGTCTCACAAGAACCTTAACTAAGTTTACGCGAATAGTGTATCACATTATTTACCGCTTTAAAATAATGTTTCGAGTATGCATTTGATTACAAAACATTGGTGATGAAAATACCATTTGTTTTTATCAAAGTGTCAAGTATTGTTTGTTATTAGCCCGATTAACATAAAATGTGTCGTGAGGCCCAATAAGACAATCACTGGGTCTATAAGGACCAATAAACATGAAATGAGTATACGAAGCCCAATAAACATGTATTTGAGTATAACAGGCCCAATAAACATGTAATGAGTATAACAAGCCCAATAAGCATGTTATAGGTGTGTCAAGCCCAATTCGAGTAAAAATATCATAAAGAGCCTATTTATTATGAAGATGATCGTTTTAGTCCGATTTGTGCTACAAATGACATAAACGGCCCATTTTTCTTAGAAATGACCTTTTTTGGCCCAAGTAATCAAGATTTTTCAACAAAGGCCCACTTTTGTCAAAATTTAATCATTTGGCCCGCTAAAACCAAAAACTTACGATAAAGGCCCATTTTCATTTCAAATGACATTTTAAGCCCAATAAAACCGAAAGTTTGTAAATAAGGCCCATTTTGATAAAAAATTATATTTTAAGTCCATTAAGGCCAAAAATTTACAATTTAAGCCCATGAAACCGTGAATTTCCAAATAAGGCCACTTTTTATGAAAAATGACCATTTTAGCCCATTAAAACCGTGAAGGCCCAAAAGAAGCCCATTTTGTCAAAAATAGCACTTTTGACCCCTACAAAACCGTGAATGTCATAAAAACCCATTTTTATCCAAAAATGACTCTTTTGGTCCTCTCAAAATCGTGAGTTATCATAAAAGGCTCACTTTTTGTTTATTTGATGAAAATGGCCCTTTTACATTATTTCTTTGTTTTTCTAGTAACTTTTGCATGTTAAGACTTTTCAACATTTTGTAGAGTCATTTCAAATATCTTAGTTTACTAACATAATCATGATTTGGTAGGTATTTTGAGTTTTATGAAAGTTTAACAAGCTTTCATGACATATTCACACCATATAATATGAAAATACACACATACATGCATAAATACTTAGATCTAACACAAAACCAACTTGTATTCTCCCCCAAAACATAGTAAAACCGAAAACAAGGGGGTATGAAGCTTACCTTGAGCGATGAATTAGGTTTTAATAAAGAAATGAGAGGGAATGAAGGTGTTTTCGGTCTAGCTTGCTCCTTTGATGAGGTTTTCGGACTTAGGGAGTTCTAAGAAGCAAGAATCATGAAATGAAGTGTTTATGAGTGATAAGTTTATCATAAGAATGAATTTAAACTTCTTGAATAGAAGTAACTTACCAAGAATGAATGAACTTTGATGAAGTATTCTCGAACACACACACAAGCACACACGATTTCTTGAAGGAAGGACGAGAGAGTTTTTGGAGGGTTGAGATGAGTGAGGAACGTAAATATGTTTTGAATTTGCAAAGTGATGGAGGTGGTGATGTTGCTCCTTGGTCGAGAATAAGAAGGAAGAGAGAAGAGAGAGAAGAACTTGCCTTGAAGTATGAGAATGTCTAGTTGTATGGGAGGTTAATTGCATGGATATCCTCCATGCAATAAGGAGGTATCAAGTTTTTAAATTAATTAGATTTTCTCTCTTTTTTTTAAACCGAGAATGGGAGGGGAAGAAAGGAAGAGAGTCTTGGGTTTGATATAACATTGGCCCATTTAGGATTTTCGATCCATGTGGGCCCACATATGAGCTTTCGGCCTAAAAAGAGCAAGGATATGTGTTTTCGGCCCATTGTAATTAAATAAGTGGTTTTTTTGGCCCAAATAGGCCCATAAAGACAAGGTGAGTAATTTTCGGCCCAATACGGTCCATGAAGAGTTTTATGGCCCAAAATACTATTGTCAAATGAATGTGGTCCAACTAGGGCCCAAATGTGGATTCTTGACCCAAAAGAATCAAGTTTGTGGGTTTACTGGCCCATTAGGCCCAATAAATGTATCCTGGCCCAACAAGATGTTTGGACCGGAAAGTTAGAGTTACAAACCCAAGGTTGAGTGTATGTAACGTATTGGATTAGGTTTGGAGCTTCACGAGTGAGTTTCGATTCGAATTGTTGTTGTTGCATGAATAACATGTATAACATCATACTTAGGGTTACAAGATACATCGAAAGTAGCTTACACATAGACATAATTTCCTAGCCCAAAATGCCAGTTGTGACATGATGCGAACGACATAGGTAACCCGGTTCAAGAGTTCATACCCACAACGACTGAATTTAGCAAGAGTAATTGAAATTCATAATAGTGAAACATGTTTCAATATTCAAGAAGACGTAGCGGAGAATTTGTACCAAAACAACATGAAAAAAAAGTAGTTCTTTTTATGATTTTTTTTTGTCTTTGTTTAGTTCTCGCTTTTTTTAATTAATGTATTCTTTTTTTTAATTAATGAAAAACTAGTTTAAAAAATCATTGTTTTAATCGTATTTTTATTTAATTTTAAATAAAAAATGATGTTGAGTGGTGTTTAGTGGTAGATATACCATATGTTTAGTGGTTGGATGTGGTAATGAGGTGACACCCACCACATTAATGGTTAGTGGTGGGTACTCCAGATGACTTAACAAGACAAAATTACACTTGATGATTCATATCGTTTGTAAGAATTAACATGGTGGACAAGTATCAAACCTTGACATGTTTGTGTCCGTTATTTAAGTTTTTGCATGGTTGTTCTTTAACAAATTAAATGACTTTTGTATATTTTCTATTTTATTTTATTTTTTTCTTTAAATAATATTAATACAAAAGAAAATACTTTTTTGGGTGTTGAGAACACCCCGACAAACTGAAACACAATAATGGAAATGATAACAGAAAGTATATTAACAAGAGCATAAGGAGATTTAAGGTGATTTAGTTGATTAGATTAAGCAAGCTACACCCACAAATAAATTAAAAAGATTCTATATTGATAATCAATGCTATATATGGTATATACAATCTATGTATTTGCTATACCAACAATTCCGTCTCACTATCACTTATTACATTAGGGTTACAATGAATGAGATGTATTTATAGTGTTGCCAGCCTAAATAATTAGGTTGCGCCAATGAGACTATGGATATCATAAAAAAACTTGTTCTCCAAGGTTGTAAGATCAACACCGAAGTCTAATCCAAACTATGGGGATGCCCCACACCCTTACTAGGTTCGTCGTGCCCCAGAAGGATCTTTGTGATTAATTCTCTTTTGTGCTTCTCACTTCACTCCTTACTTCTACCTTTCCTTGGACTTTAAACCAGCAAACATAGGATGGAAAAACTCAATTGGAACTCTAGCGAATCCTTGAAGGAGTCCTCCAATATCTGAATTTTACTTGTCAAGATATTTCTTATTCCATCAGCAAGCCTTCCTTTTTATGAATGACCCATATAAACCATATTTCTTGGCTCTCAAACGTATTCTTCATCTTCTCAAAGGTACCTTTTGCATGGTATTCACTTTCGCCTGTCAGCCGTTGATCGCTTGATCTCATATTCATATGTTGATTAGGCATGTATTCCTATTAGTTATCAACATACTTCTAGGTTTTATGTTTATCTTGGCGATAATATCGTTTCCAGGTCCTCGAAACGAAAACATGTCGTGTCTTGATCTAGTGTCGAAGTTGACCACCGAGGGTAGCCAATATATTTGTTGAAGTTGTTTGGTTTCAAAATCTCCTTGTAGACTTATCTTTCCTGCTATCACGTGTCTATGTTGTCTTTTGTGACAACGTTAGTGCAATGTATCAAGCATTTAACCCGATTCATGATCAGAGGACCAAGCATGTGGAAATAGACTTATATTTTTTAGGAGAGTGTTGCATTTGGTCATGTGCATGTTTTGCATGTTCTATATGTGTATCGGTATGCATATATCTTCACGAAGAGTGTATCTACACACAAATTTTCCTTGATTTCATATATAGTTTGATCATTAAAGAACCCCTACTCAATCTACGGGGGTGTGTGTTAGATACTTTTTATATTCTTGATTGTTTATATTATATTTGTATAATATAGGAACTCTACTATAACTTATATATGTATATAATGCAACCTATACAAGCAACCCTAATTGAGGGTTTTCTATATATTCCCCAACAAAACGAAAACAATTGAACACTTAATTGTCTATTTAACTGTCTACTGCCACTTTGCTTAATCTGTATGGGACCAGATCTCCTCTTCTTGTCAAATGAACCACATCACAACAAGTAGGTAAAACACATATTAGCTTTCCTCAATAGATCTTTCGTGACGAAAAAATTGATTAAGGCAATTTTAATATCGACATGTTGGTTTATTTGGAAAGCTACGGACGACAAAGTTTTTAACAATGTCACCCCAATGCACCACAAAATTATAGAGCAAATAAAAGCGGATACTTTTCATTGGATCATAAATAGGGTGAAGCTTCTTAGTTTAGATTGGTGTACTTTGTGCATTTCACCTTTCTAATATTTTATGTTTTTTTTTTTTCACTGCAATGCTCTTTGGGGCTTAGTCAAGACAATTGCTAGTTTTCCGTTTAATTAATACATATTCCTCGTTCAAAAAATAACATGACCCATTGGCATGCATAAAGAAGTGAAGAAGGGTTCATTTATGGAACATGATATCATTTGACATTCATTGCTACAACCATGGTTCTTAGCTTCTGAGAAATTTCTGAAAATGGGAGTCTCTCTTGCGGATCAGAAGACCAACAACTCTCCATTAATGACTTCCATTCAGCATCACACCATGTTGGTATTACTGGTCGTAATGTGTTCTTGATGATTCCTCCTGTCGAACCAAATACACCATAAAAATGTAAAAGTTTCATTTTGTCATTGACAAAAAAAATCATTTTTCAAAAATGTATTGTGATAAAATAACTAATGAACATACCAATAATGGACTTATGATGCATATTATTGTAAGGTTCGTCTCCGGTAAGCAATTCCCACATGACAACCCCGAACGAATAAACATCAACCTAAATTTTGGAAATAAAATGCCAAAGATAAATGATATTATGATAAATATTTGCAAAGAAAAGTAATGATCATAAAGGTTATTATTGCAATATACCTTTGCTGTTACCAAGTGACTTTTATCATTAAGAAGCTCAGGTGCCATCCATTGCACGGTTCCACAATTATCACCATTCACTAAATTGTGTCGTTTTATCTTGGATAAGCGAAGATCTCCAATCTAGAACGCTCACAAAAGAAACATATGTAAGAATGAATGCACCCCTTTTAATTATGAAATAAGTACTGCAAAGTGCAAACAATTTCATTTTTGGATGTAACAAAATGAATGCATTGTCTCTATAATTGATAGTCCACATGTATACCTTGCAAATTGGTCTATGTGGATCTCTCATATTTACAAGAAGATTCTCACACCTTAGGTCGAAATGCACGACATTTTTTCCATGCAAATAATCCATTCCAGAAGCCGTATCCATGGCTATGATAAGTCTTTCACGTTGATCTATTGTTCTGTTCATAAGAGTTTTTTAATCATTCAAAATATATAATTTAAATTTTCACAAAGCATTTGACAAAATAGGTACCTGTCTTTTTTCTTTAAAAATTGCTTCAAAGATCCATCAACCATGTACTCTGTTACAGTTGTCAAAGAGTCATCTGGCTCATCACGAACTATACCATAGAAGGTAACAACATTTGGGTGGTGCAAAGAACTTAAAACCAATGCCTCCTTCCAGAAATTGTTAATCTATTTACTCGAAATAGAAGTATGGTCAAGGTTAGAGGATGACAAGTGGACCAACCATCATATAATGAAAAATGAACAGTTAATTTTAAGCAAATTGCAAAACAAATCAATAAGTGACATCTATATTTACAATATTGGTACCTCCCTTTCTGTTATGATTACCCAAATCATCTAAACTAATATATGCTTAGTTGGGTTTTTTAGAAAAGCATGAAGTGTCTTTCCTCAAATGTGATAAAAAAGAATTTTGTTATGAACAATCATTTGCTTGGAAAAATACATAACTGAGAAACATGAGAAGAAAAAATAGAGTTATTTTTGGCTTTATATCAATATAATTTACAGAAAAGAAAGAAAATCTAATATGAAAAGAAGATAAATGTTTGAATCATATATTTAATTTAAAACAAAACTAAAGATCAGACCCATATTTGATATATTGGGGCAGTGAGAGCATTTTCTAACAATGTGTAATGAATTTCTTGATATTTGTTGGTGATTTGTATTATCGATATGTATTTAAATGTAATGGATTAACGTGTTGACCAAATATAATCTTGATAAACATTAAACAAGTAAGGAAGGTGGGGAGTGCACACTTGTTTGACTTTGGTCAAGATTCAAAGTACACTGTCGTTTAGGGGCAAAGCCCCTACAAGAATGAGGTCCGGGGGCAGCGCCCCTAGAAGCGGGGTCCAAGGGGGGCATCCCCTGGCGGTGTCGAGCTTTGGGTAATGTTGCTTTGTTAAAAATGCATCAGAGATCCCGGAAATTTGAAAATTGATCCATATTTGACTTTTGTGTTGACCCTTGTCTAAAACCGGTTTTGTGATAGTTTAGAGACATTTTGAAACTGCCTTGTGACAGTTTCATGTGAGTCTTCAGACAGAAAATTGTCTTGTGACAGTTTTTAGACAAAAGATGTATTTAACCAATTTTGGTCATAATGTACTAACAAAATTCTTAATAATTTCATTCTTAGTTCTTGCATTTCTTGTGAGTCTTATCCAATTAAAGATTCGTAAGTACCACCCAAATAATTCAATTTAAAAGTGTTATCAAGATTCTCACAATTCTAAAGTACTATTACATCCCAAAAATCTAACAATAATGATGACACACTTAGGCATTTGTTTTGTAATGATGGACGTATTATTATCACTCAAAGTGGCAGCAAGAAAAAAGATGTCAAATATGACCACCTAGCAATTTGAGCATACCAAACATGGTAAAAGAACAATTTGACCATACAATATCAAAAGGAAAGAAACGAATGAGGAAAAAGAACATCCATACCATACGTTCCGTTTCTGATGACTTCCTAGCAAAGCAACTGCCTTTAATTCTCTTAATTGCAACATCCGTACCCTTCCACATTCCATGATAAACAACTCTATATGTACTACCGGATTCTAATTGGCTTATCTCCTCCAAATCATCCTTCTTTATGGTCTAAAGACAAATAAACCTTGAAATTACTAAAGACCATAAATCACACATATTAAACATAATTCATTTTCCCACATTTTTAAAACTGACATCAACGTAACCTGTAATCCCATCGCAATAGCCTCCCCCTCAATTGTTGTTGATTCCATTTTCGTATTGCTTTCGGTGCTAGTAGTAGAGTCCAACTCCAAATCCTCATGCATATCCTACAAAAACGACAAGGATTTAATATTGACCACAAAGATAAGTTGCACTAAAAACTCACAAGGTTAAAGAGTTATGAATTTACTTACCAAAATATGGAACTCATGTGTGGGTTCCTCTCTGACCTCGTCTGTTTTCTCAATGACAGCATTAAAACTTTCTTGAGCTTCACCTTTAACCTCCTCAGCATATTCCAAAGACTGATTTCCATATATCAACAGAGTATGTCGCTTTAGTTGTCATTAATAATATTCATGATATGGTATATATGAGGAGGCAACTATATATTGTTTCTAAATATGGAATGCATAGTAAGACAAGGTTTCATAGTTTCTAAGATAGTCGCCTATTTAATTATATATGTATTTGGCAACAATGTGTGTATAAAGAGATGAACATGTGTAGTGTCTACATATACACAAACACATGTACATGTGTATATGCATGCAACTTACATGTTAATTAACAAATACATGCATATATACATACATACCGGAAAGACATGAATGATTATTAAAAGTATTGTTATGCATATAAGAATATCCATTAATATTTTTTTGTAGATGAATTCTGAATATTTTGAATGGATATTACAAATACGAATGTGATCTATGCATATGCATGAAATTTTTGAATATGCATATATAGACCTACTACCTGTACTTACATCAGAAATAAATGAAAGCAATTAGGCATCTAAAAAATTCACCGCCTTAGTTTTGTACTCTAAAAATGGAAATCGAGATTTGCTACACGACCTTCCGAAAAAGGAATGTTGTAGAAAAACGCAATGGACAAAATTTATTCTGATGTTATCTCGACATAAAATGATTAATAATTTGCATATAACTAATTAAAGAACATTCATCACATAATTAAATGGAAATACTTACTTGAATGGCCAATGCTTCTTCAATTCTCGCAATGACGGCTTCCATCCCAGGGCGTTCCTTTAAATTGAAACTAATGCACTGATATGCAATTCCTTTAAACATATCCAAAGAACGACTACTAATCTGATCTCTCATATGGGGATCAATTAACTTGTGTAGTTGGTTGTCATCATATCGTCTAACCAAATTCATTAGAAACTTTGGCCGATTGTCTTCAATGCTCCTTTCACTATAAACCAGCATCCCACTAAGCATTTCAAATAGTACGACCCCGAATGAGTATATATCCGATTCTTTTCGAAGGATGTGGCTTTCATGGTAAGTGGGATCCAAGTAAAACTGGGTACCCGCAACCTTTGTGTCGAGGTGGGTATTTGGCAGATTTTTGGGACCTAATTTTGACAAACCAAAATCACAAATTTTTGCAACAAAATTATCATCTAACAATATATTAGCACTCTTCACGTCTCTATGTATTACTCTGTTGTGCTCCCCAAGTCCTGAGTGAAGGTAATTAAGTCCTCTTGCTGCCCCAATGCAAATCTTTAGGCGATGTGTCCATGTTATGTCGCGCCTCTTATTGGGGTCTTGAAGATGATGATCTAGGCTTCCATTGATAGCATACTCATAAACTACAATCATCTCGTTGACTTCATCACAGTAACCAATAAAAGAGATGATGTTTTCATGGTGGAATCTGGATATCATACTAATCTCATTACGGAACTCGTGCTCTCCTTGGTAGCTATTCTGAGCTAGGCGTTTGAAAGCGGCTGTGCGGTTTTGCCATCTTTCAGAAAGTTCTCCTTTGTAGACCTTGCCAAATCCACCACCTCCAATATATCTTTCCGGACTGAAATTTTTGGTTGCAAGATTGACCTCCTCCAGTGGAATTAGATAATTTTCGAGGTTTACTTCTGAAGAAGACATTGCCTTTTGATATTTCTGATGATGTATCTTAATGTAGAAGCACCAAATTGGCTGTGAATAGACGCAGAACGAAGTTTGCTTAGGCACCTACCTCATTTGACCATGGCCTAAAAGATATATAAACTCATTTAAAATTATGATCCAATTTACATTAAACTATTATACACGTTTTTCAGTAATGTATTTTATATATACTTCGAAAAGTTACACTTCAATTATTAAACTATCATGCAAGTTGTTTGGTTAATGTTCATACTGCCGTCTGATCTTCATTTTTATTATTTATTATTAATTTTTTATAAATAGTTTTCCGTCATTCACGTGGACATTTTCTCTCTGGCCAATTTATTGAACAAAATATACATGATTTGTTAATGTTTGATATTATTGAATTTTTCTTGAATTATTGATTAACAGACAGGCAATAGATGTGAGCTGTAAACACTATGACATGCATGACTCCAAAACACTATGACATGCATGATTCCAAACCGCTTCAAGATCTCATAAGCCACCGCCTGCAAGCGTTGTCCATGCATGTTTAACCGCAAGCACACATCAACGAGATACATCAAGTAACGTTTAACTCATCTCAAACCGTTATAAAAAAATATTATTCTACCTTTAAATGTTGGCACAAAGGATGCTCAATAAAATTACATCCAAGTCATAACTGATTTTTAAACTACTCCCACTAGTACAAAACCATTAATTGATGCGGTTAAAATGATTAATTGATGCGAGTATTGAACGGCATTAACAAATATCGCATAAAAAAACACCCCTATTTAATATATAATGTGGTTATATAACCGCCCAAAAAATGACGAAAACCGCCTAAAAAAATACCCACATTTAATGATGAAAACCGCACCAAAAGATTATAAGCACACCAATTAATAAACACACCAATTCATGAAGTCACAATTCCAGTAATTTCTTCGTTGTTTTTAGTAGTACGGATACATTATGGTATGGCCTCTATATTAATATATTAGGGTATGACCTCAATATTAGTTTATGATTGTAATGGGTTTTATATTTAAATATTATCTGCCCCAACCTATCTACTACCATGTTGATCCTTAAAACACAGCCTCCTCTTTTTTATATTTCTTCTTGGTTCGATAGTGGTGTAAGTATCATGTGGTGATGGTTGTCGAAAGTGGCAGCTGGGGTGTAGTTTGTTCGAAGCTGGAACAAGTAAGAGGGTGGAGGTTCCGATGGTTAGAGGTTGTTACGGTGGTGGGTTTGAGTTTAGAAGGTGTGAGGCTGAAACAAATGGTGCGTGAGGCTGTGATGGGTGACTTGAAGGTTAACCGGTTCAACCGGTTTTGAGGCAGAGGTGGTTCGTAGAGGGTGCGATGGGTGCTATCTGTGGTTGGATATCTTCGGCTGTAACATGTGGCGATGGAGGGTGATGGCAGGTGGTTTGTAGTGGTGAAGGTCTCCGGTTCTGCCAGTGATGGTTGAGAGTGGTCTCGGTGGTGCAGGTGGTTGACTGATGGTTCGAGATGAAGATGATGTAGTGAAGGTTTACAAAAAAATCCTATCTACTGCTCTACTGAAAAATAAAAATGCGAAGGAGTTATGGTTTCCATGGGTGTGTGCTTAGATTTATATTAAAAACAGAGGGAATATTTGGGAGGGATATTGTAAATTTGAAGGATCCAACGCGAAATGAAAATTTTTGAATAAAAGGAAAATTTTGAACGGAATTTTCAGAAGGAAGATTAAATGAGGCGGTTGCACATGATTAAATGTGGCGGTTTCTATTGATTTAATGGTACGGTTTTAAAAACCGCACCAATAAATACGTTTTTAATGCCATTTAGGGAAACTGCACCAACAAATACCTTAAATGATACGGTTCATTGATTTATTGATGCGGAAGTGTTTTAATGATGCGGTTTTAGGCTACCACCGCTCCAAAAATATAAAAATCAATCGCACCAAAAAATAGGTTCTGTACTATTGTCCTACTCTAATCCTAAACTACAAGCGCACCTAAACCCTAAAGTCTTTGGGGAAGAAACACATTTTCCAACTACTATTATGCAATAAGCTATTTTGTGAGTCAAATTACTTAACAATCCATTTGGTGGGTCTAATTAGTTATGATTATATGAATACAATAATAAAAGGAAGTCGTATAACATCTCTTTTTATTAGATATGAAGCCACAATCCCACACACAAATTCGATGAAGCCAAATTAATTCTCTTTCGGTTGGGGGCGTTTTACTTTGAATAAATTTGTTCCTGGTTCCATGCCTTCTTATTTTATGTCGCTCTTTAAGGCTCCGGTTGGCATTCTTTATAGGCTTGAGTCCTTGAGAAGTGCGTTTTTTAGAGGAGTGGATATTCATGACAAAAAAATTGCTTGGATTTCTTGGAATAAGGTGCTAGCGGGGAATGAAAATGGGGGTTTGGGTGGTGGTAGTTTCTTTGCCCTAAACAGAGCGCTTCTGTTTAAGTGGATTTGGAGGTTTTTGTCTAATCCAGATGCGTTATGGGTTCGTGTTATTAAGGCGATTTATAGAAATATTGGTTGTTTAGGTCATATGATTCTTCCTAAACGATCCTCTGTTTGGGTTGCTATTTTATATGCTATGCTTGATTTGCGGAAAAAAGGGATAGATTTATTTGCAAACTGTAAGAAGTTTATTGGAAATGGTTTTGATTCTTTGTTTTGGACGGATGTGTGGATTGGTGATATTACTCTTAAGGACCAGTTCCCTCGTTTATATGCTTTAGAGTTAAACAAGAATGATTCGGTAGTTGTCAAGTTTGGTGCTATCTTGTGGTTTGATTCTTTCCTTCGTCCTTGCTTGGGTGGTGCTGAAAGTGAGCAAGCTGTTAGTCTTAGTTCTTGCTTGGAGTTAATTAACCTTAATTCTTTTCCTGATAGATGGGTTTGGGATCTTGAAGTTTCGGGTGGGTTCATAGTCTATTCAACTAGTCACTGGATAGACTTGATTTATCTTGGATCACTTCTTCGACTTTTATATGGGTGAGGGTGGTTCCTATTAAAGTTAACGTGTTTTGTTGGTGAATGTTTTTGGATAGGTTACCTACTCGGGTAAACTTGTCTAAAAAGGGTATGGATGTTCCTTCCATTTTGTGTCTCGTTTATGATCTTATGGTTGAAGATGTCAATCATCTTTTCTTCTCTTGCCCTTTTGCTAAGGCAGTGATCGAAAAGATTTTGCCTTGGTGAGATTAGAACGCTTATTTTTTTCAATCCATTTAAGACTGAAAGGTGTGGTTTGATTTTGTCAAATTGAAGAATAAAGTTGAGGAGGTTCTTGAAGGTGTTTTTCTGTCACTTGGTGGTACATCTGGATGTTTAGAAATAAAACCATTTTTGGTAATGAGGTTCCAGAAAGAAGTCTTATTTTTTGATGACATAGTTTCTCATTCTTTTATTTGGTGTTCTAGTAGGTCTAAGTTTCATCTCAATTGGGTGTTGTGGCTTAAAAACTCAATTTTAACCTTATTGTAATGCTGGTTAAACCTTCATTTCTAGCATCCTGCTAGTTTTTTTTTTTGTATGTTTATATATTTCTATCGTTCTAAAAAAAAACAGAAATTAGACGAAGCCAATACGTGGACATAATATTTTAATACGTGGATATAATATTTTAATATATTTTTACATACAAATTGACTTAATATTTTGATTCCTTTCTATGTTATATTCCGATTAATAACAAACTAATCTTTATATATATATATATATATATATATATATATATATATACCTTATAAAACATATTTCGTCAAATGCTGAATTTTAAGTCGTACAAACCATATTGCGATATTTACAACCAGTTTATGCATTGGAAAAAGCTAAATCTTATTTTGTCTACAAAATTCAAAATTTCAAAAAAATATCTATTAACCTTATAAAACTATAACATCGTCCAAATGATAAAGCCTTGGGTATAACTTAATATTGCAATCTTATATTATAATAACTAACATAGATACTTTATGTTGGTGATTTGTTATCATCAAAGTTAGTTAAGTGTAATAGGATTAATTGTTGACCAAAAGTGATCTTGATAAATATTAAACAAGTAAGGGAGGTGTGGAGTACACACTTGTTTAAGTTTGATAAAGTTTCAAAGTACACTGTCATTTAGGGGCGAAACGCCTGAACTAACAGGCGTCCAGGGGCAGCGCCCGTAGGAGTGGGGTCCAAGAGGCGGCAGCCGCTGGCTGGGGTCGAGCTGCTAGGTCAACGCAAGAATTTTTTATATAGGTTATGTTGCTATATTAAACATGCATTAGAAATTCGGTTATTTTTAGAGAATTGACCCTTGGTTTGACCATTATCTAAATACTCGTTTTTAGGTCAATTTTGGTAGTTTTATGACAGTTTAAAACTGTCATATGAAAGTTTTCAGACAGATATCATAAATTGGTTTTTGGTCTCATTTTCTGATACATTCGAAATTCATAACAATCAGATTCTCTGTTCTTGCTCTCATATTTTGAGTCTTATCCGATTAAAGACTGGGAGTACCACCCAAATACTTTAATCTGAAAGTGATATCATAATTCTGAAAATTTCCAAGCCTTTCTATACCTAAATTTCTAACAAACATTAAAGTATTTATGTGATCATGGCAATTGGCGATTCTGTGAAGGACATGACAATCAAGTTTGATAAGTTGGTGAAGTTTAAAGGCCAAGACTTTCGTAGATGGCAGAAGAAGATGAAGTTCCTCTTGACCACCCTTAAAGTGGTGTATGTTCTGAGTACACCCATGCCATAACTTGCTAAAGATGAAACTCTAGAGGCAACAATGAGGAGATAAAAGTGGGATAATGATGACTACATTTATCGTGGTCATATTCTCAATGGTATGTCTGACTCTCTTTCTGATATCTATCAAATTGTTGAATCTGCAAATGAAATGTGGGATTCTCTTGAATCCAAGTAAATAACTGAAGATGCTTCTAGTAAGAAGTTTACGGTTGGTAACTTTGTGGGTTACAAGATGGTTGACTCTAGGCCTGTTATGGAACAATTTCATGAAATATTAATGATCCTGGGACAGTTTGCTTAACATA